ACGGCTACCTATGGCGCTGCCATGTGGCCTCGGTCACGTGGGTTTGTGACGTACATGTAAGGTGTAAAAGAATCTTGAGGTCATGGGGCTTCCCCTGATTCTATCTTTCCGTCACCGGCAGAATCGCTGATTAATGCCTACAGTTCAAAATAGTCATTTTGACTGACCGGAGTCTATAGTGGGTATGAACTATGTGAATAGGCGGGTTCGGAGAACCCTCGCCTAATTCTAAATTATGTAATTTCAAGATTCAAACTTATCTCTCTGATATGGTCTGTCACCTTCCTCACTGGATTTGTTTACATTCATATATTCAAGTATTGCAGGGACACAGTCCATTGCATACATGCCATTACAGTGGAGCTCTTTCAGAAATCGTTCCATCTTCCGTTGTACATTTGTTTTTAATCTGAAAACCCTTCGTTTAAAGATTATGCCATGATTTGTTATCGCTAAATATATCTGAAAGTAGAGAAATTTTTACATCAAAAGTGGCAACAAATGGTATGATTTGTATTGTATATATAATTAATTTGAATGTTAAATTATCATATATGTACTTATGTAAAAGTAATATTAAGAATAATAAAACACTTCACTAAAAGTGCTGGCAGCGTGGTTAATGGTATAGGACTATAGTAATGGTGCTTTGAAACCAAGCATATTCTTTTGTCAAAGCAGTCTAGAGGATACTGAATGCTACATTGTCTTTTTACAGCTACCATATGTGCAGACATATGGGACGACGTTTATACACAGCTTTCAACTATTATGAACACTTTCCCTTCTCATGCTCAGAATTCCAACTCAGGTAAGAACCATTTATTATTGCTCACTTCTCCAATCACCTGTACATCTTTTGATTTGATCAGTATAGTTTGATGTTGTTGTTTTTTTACTTGAGTTAGGGAGTTTTATGAGTTTTACTTTTCTAGTGAGTTAGGGAATTTATATCAAGTTATATATTTTCTGCAAGTTTCAACTGTGCCATTATTGTATGTGAGTAAACTATTATTGGTGGTATTGTAAGTTTTATTGTGTTTATTTTATGTGTTTTTTGTACATTAAGGATTAAACAATTATTATTTGGTAAAACGTCTTGCATTTAGACTATTACTGGTTGTTAATATCAATCCATCCACACATAAGCCCCCTACTAGTCCCACTCACCTTTACTCTAACTCATCTACATTTAGACTATTACTAGTTGTTAATATCAATTCCTATCCCATATTACTTGATAGATCCATCATCCTGTCCAGACCATGTCATCTACTCATAAACCCCTACTAGTCCCACTCACCCTTACGAACACAGTCTGAAAACATGGACTTATGTTTTGACCTCTGTGCGTGCGTGCGTGCTTCCGTCCGTCCGTCCGTCTGTTCGTGCATGCGTCCGGACCTGTATCTTAGAAATGCTTGGACCAATCACAATCAAACTTCACACATACATCATACATGATATTCTACATATGCACATCAATTTGTTTCACGATGTGATTCAAGATGGCCGAATGGTGGCTATTTTTGCTCTAAAAATCATCAAAATCAAACATTTCTCGGATGTTGGATTTTGTTCAAACTTGGCATATACATTGGACATTATAAGATCTTGATGCACATCATTTTGTTTTCAGATAAGATTCAAAATGGCCAACTGGCAGCCATTTTGTTTTAATAAATGTGGTTCTATAGTGCCATATCTCGAACTTGATATGACTGATTATGTTCAAATTTTAAATATTCATCATACATCATGTCATAGATATACAAATATATTGGTTTGATGATCCTATTAAAAATGGCCGATTGTTGGCAATTTGTGTGCTATAAAATCATCAAATATCAAGCATTTCTGGCATTTATGGATGGATTTTGTTCAAACTTGGTACAAACATTAGACTTTATGGTTCCTGATGCATGTTATTTTATTTTTTTAGATCAGATTCAGAATGGCTGACTGGCCGCCATTTTGTTTTAATGAATAGGCTTCTAGAGCCATACCTATGACATGCTTTGACTGACTATGTTCAAATTTTATATATTCATTATACATGTATTCAAAATGGCTGATTTTGTTTTAATTAATGCTGTTCCAGAGCAATATCTCTCAATACTTGTTTGACGATCAGATAAAAATGTCAATCATTTAAATGTTTTCATAATCATATTCCTGACATGTTTATATTCCAGCTATATTACTATAGACAAAACTATATATCTTAAATTCGATAATGGGAACTGTGCCATGCATGGCTTGTTGATTCTAATACCAATCTTTTTATCCTACAGTGCCTGGTAGACCTATCATCCTCTGTGGACCACTGTCATTGATACGTGGAACCAGTCTATATTTTAACAGTAGTTATCCCGACAAATTTGATGATTGCTGCAGAAGTAAGTCAACCTTCTTAATTACCGTATTGTTCCACATAGCCAGGCTTATGCATGATAGGGGGACACATAAGGGTATTTATAACCGCAATAATAGGGTGTGTTGGTCCTGCTAAAACTATGATAAGAGGCACATAGGGTTATATATAACCTAAATAATAGAGACTCGATTTCATACTAAGCTGCGAGTTTATTCTATGGTCACAAATTTTAGTTTTTTAGTTGGTATTGGTGATATGCTTCTAATAGAGTAAATACAGTATACTCAAGAAGTCCATTTAAAACTGTGAATTAAATACTATCACAGCATACATGTGTCAATAAAATTTAATAATAATATATATACTGCATCCTTAAAAATGTTCTATTGGTTAATAGCAATTTATAAATAAAATGAATGTAATAGTAAAAGAGAGAAAGTCAGTATTACAAATCAAGTGAATGTTCATTTCTTAAAATGAAAGAATTGTTTATAAAATAACCCATCAGCATTTGAAACCACTTTTTCTAACCATCAGTGGATTTTTTGAAGTGAGTCAAAACGCTATTATTAGTACTTTCATGAAAATGAATTGCTATTTCTGTGAAATTGAACTGAACACATATTCAGTATATGTTCACTAATTGTACGTTGTATATTAAAGTGTGATACTATATGACTGGAGGAGTACACAATGGGAGAGCACTTTTTAAATAAAATTAATTATAGTAATTACAACCTTTTACTGTAATTAATTCATTAATAATTCAAGTTATAAAACTACAAAACTGAATGTTCCTTGTACACACCAGCTGACATACACTCATGAACACAGTATTCCCTGATCCAGCATTAAATTACTAAAATATAAATTGCGCTACATCACAACACAGCTGCTGACTGTGCATCAATCATGAATACAACATCCAGTATTAAGTTATGCACATTTCAATTGAACTTGTGACCTCAATTCTGTGGGCCATGTTTGTACACTCTTGTTCGCACTAAATAATTGTGTGTTATGTTACAAATCTGTTTGTATACTTGACTGAAACATGCCCACATATTATGAAAGCCCTCGCCTTGGCTTTGAAAAAAACGTCTATATCTAAGCTTTTCTCCAGCATGGCAATTTAAGTATCTGTTTTGAAATATGTCAAAGCGCCCTCACCAGTGTTTTATAGGAGATTGTTTTTGTATTCAATATGGATCAAGAAATGCAGCCAAAGCACATCAATGATTGAACAGAGTTATTTGACTGCCAAATGCTTGCTTTGATCTCCTTGTAGACAGACAACTCAACAAGATATACAAAGGCAGCTTTACTGTAGACATTTGCAAGAAAATGAAACAATTTTGTGCATTAACCAAGCCAAGTTACATTAAGTATATTATTACACATCTGTCACCGTAACGCCATAAATTACAGTTTGCCAAAATTTTGTGGTATTGCACTGGGTATTTTCATCCTACAATATTAGGGAATGCAAATTCCAAATGTGGAACTCACAGAACCATCCTCTAATAATAAAAAACAAACATGGCAGCCTCCACTGTTTGACCAGACCCACACGAAGAAGTTCGCTAAATCCCTTCTAAACTTTTTGGATTTCGGCATTCCCATTGTGTATCCTTGAAAGAAAAAGATGTATAATAATAAGGTTATTATAAGGATACTTTTCAGTATTGTTGTAATAACCTCGTATTATATTAAACTAAACTAAAACTACATGTATTGTAACCATATAAATATACCATCATTGAGGGCAGACTTTGACTTGTGTTTGATTATTGGGAACATAGCTAGAATAAATACAGGAAGCGGTCAGATATAATAGATAAATGAACTGTTTATTATTCTGTGGAATACTTAATTTTCACTTGGAATTCATTTTCGTTTTTTTTGTCGAAGGAATGATTCAGCAAAAATAAAATCCAGCAATATACCTTCTTTCCTATATTTTACATTCAACTTGTCAAAAATCAATGAAAATAAATACATAATAAATTCAATACAAAATACAAAAAATAATTCTATGTAAAATAGTTTAAAGTATTTTACAGTAATCTATACATGTATGCTGCAAAAATCTTCTTAAAAACCCATGTAAAGATCAATCTAAATAAAGATTTTTCACATTGGCATAATAATGTGTGAGTTTAATAAGTCAACCAATCTGAAAACTCATAAAAATGATATTGTAAAGTAATAAAAAATATATTGATTACTTGTATGGATATATTAATTGGACAGTTTTGAGAAATATATGTCTATAAAAATTGTATCCAATATTGAATAATTTTCTGCATGAATATTATAGAATGCTCATTGTGTTATTTTCACAAAGATGCCATTACTTTTCGCAAGTATTATCAATTATGGTTAATCATTAAAGTGGACAGTCCCTTGCTGAATACTCGTATAATATATTTTGGTACAGTACTGTGCATAATATACCATGATTGCAACAATTCCTAATGGTCGACTTTCAACTAAAACCAAATAATATTTTTGGCATTTCTAAATTATATTACTCACAATCAATATAGGATAAGTGCATGGTATTCTTGTATTAAAGACCTAATTGTCTCTTGAGCTCAAATAAAAATATCACACTGTATATGTATGACTTGTGGGAGACTGAATAAGATGTCAGTTCCGCATGATCTAATTTAACAAGTATACCCTGGGACAAAGTTAACAGCCAGCCAGCTACATGTAAGTGGTACTATCTGTTTAATCTCCTCCCAGTCAATGTCAGTTTTGTTATTTTCACACAGTATCCAATCTGCACAGTATGTTCATTACTTTCGCATTATGACCTGTATTCTGGGGAAAGAAGTCTCAATTTGTGCAGTAGTGAACATTGCAATTTCCATGTGATGTTAGCAAACTCTAAACAAATTTTTATACATGCTGAAGGTATACTGTAAAATATTTTATTTTCGCTTGGAATAAAATTTTGCTATTTTTAGTATCAATTCAGTGAAAATAAAACCCAGCGAATTTACTTTTTTTTCCTATATTCTACATTCAACTTGTCAAAACTAGATATTAGATAACATCACAGAATTTGATCTTCATGGAGGCATCAAAGGCAATTATCTCACTGTCCTAAGAGTTTGCCTTGGTGTCCTAGAAAATACAGATTTTCTCTATACTACTCCTATACGCCAAGGCAATCTTATCACATTTTGCCTTAAAAATGAGAGATTTTACACCACCAGTTTCCTCTTTTTGTCACAAATTCACAAAATAGTTCTCTTTATAGTCTGCCAATTTGGGACAAAAAAGCCAAATTTTTTGAGTAAATTACAGTTCATTTCCAGAAAATTTTGAAAAATACAAGAAAAAATGAACTGACATCATAAAACAAATTTCAGGTCTGATACAAAATAGTTTTATTTTATCTCTGTTACAGCCACCACTAATATTGACATAAACTTGGTATATGACCCTGGATGGAGGCTGAAATTCCAGTCAGTGAAAGACATGCAATCAGTTATTGAGAAAAAAGAGTACATTGTTGATGAGAGGCTGAAGTACTTTCAGAATAACAGCAAATCATGTCTTGATAAAGAGTTTCTTGTTTTGCCATCATCTGTTAAGGAGATTACACAGCAGGTGGGTAATGAAGTCATTGCATCTTTGAGTGAAAGGCCAAGGTGAAAGGTCACACATCCTGGTCTTTTTTGTCTGTAACACACTACTATTACTTGTTCAGTTAATGCATCCACTCGGAAGACATCAAAACATCAAAAATGCTCTCATGGGTAATATGAGTTTGCAAAATGTAGCTGAACTGGAACTAGCGTTTTCATTGGACAAAACTCAACAATAAATAAATAATTAATTAATCAATAACTGAAAAGCAAACTGTGATAGCTTAGGTTATGGAGTATCATCACAGGAATATATAGATTCTCTGTGGAAAGTGTCAAATTGCTGTCATGTGGGAAGGCTGAGTAATTCTGTAGATTGAATCATTCCCAAAAAAGATGCAGTCTCATCTATTTATGGAAAGTGGGATAAATACGAAAGCACAGTGTTTTTGACTCCTGTGTGATGTATATGATATAAATGATGAAATGCAATGGTTATCTTTTGGGTTTGCACATATTATGCAAAAGAGAATG